TTATTTTTTTGTTTGACACTTTTAATTTAAAAGAAATTGTATGCAATAATCCAAAAAAAAACAATAATTAATATTCTAGCCAATTAACCTAGATCTATTGATCAAGATTTTGCCACATATATCAATTTTAGTTAGTTCCTTAATTATTAAATGTTTTTTAGTTAATGAACATTTAAACAAATTGTGATTTGACTATAGTATCTCGGTTTGATTTTATTTGGTTTCGTAAAGTTGGCAAGTTAAGATAACAAATAGGAAAACCGAAATTTGGTTATTTAAATTAAATAACAATTGAAAACAACAGGGTTTATCTATGTATTCCTCAAAACTTCAGGGACGTAAATATGATAATTACAGAAGAATCGTAAAGGCTGCGACTTTGCGAGTAAAAAGAACAAGATGAGACCATCTTCTCTCAGCTATGCTAGCCACTGGCCACTGCTTCCTCTTCTGTGTTACATGAACTCAAATTTCTTCATTTCTGATTGAATAAAACATCCTTAAAAACATGTCTACCACATTGTTCAGGACAATTCAGCCAAACCAGTTCACACTTCTTGGAACTGCCTTGTTTAGAAGGAGAAGGAGAAGTAACTTCTCCGTGAGATGTTGTGGAACCCAAACAACGACGACCCATGAAGCTAAACAGCCTTCTCAATCGAGAATCGCACCGAAAAACCATGGAAGCAACAAACTTGATGAGATTCTGAGAGATTACGAGGCTGTAATTGGGATAGAGACTCATGTCCAACTCTCGACATTCACAAAGGCCTTTTGTAGTTGCCCTAACAATTACGGGTCTCATCCAAACACAAGTATCTGTCCTGTTTGTATGGGTTTGCCTGGTGCTTTGCCTGTTTTGAATTCCAAAGTTGTTGAATTTGGTGTTAGATTGGGTTTGGCTTTGAATTGTGATCTCTCTCTCAAGTCCAAATTCGATAGGAAGCAGTATTTTTATCCAGATCTTCCTAAAGGTTATCAGATTTCTCAATTTGATATCCCAATTGCATCTGGTGGTTATGTGGATGTGGACATTCCGCTTGAGTTTGGTGGTGGACACAGGAGATTTGGTATCACTAGGGTTCATATGGAAGAAGATGCTGGCAAGCTACTCCATTCAGACACTGGAGATTACTCTCAGGTATGAACATTTTCAGTTAGGTTTCTTAGGTCATTGTTGAGCTAACAGATTTCTGATAGTTAGGATGGTTTTTTTTTTATCTCAAAGGGTTTTAGGTTTTAGGGGTTTATGTAGAACCTGCAAAGATGTTTTTTTTTGTGTGTTTCTTATGTATGGTTACTCTATGGTGCAGGTAGATCTGAATAGAGCAGGTGTTCCTTTGCTAGAGATTGTTTCTGAACCTGATATGAGAAGTGGGATTGAAGCCGCTGAATACGCTTCTGAAATGCAACGGATTGTGAGGTATTTGGGGGTCAGCAATGGGAATATGCAAGAAGGCTCTCTTCGCTGCGATGTCAATATCTCAATCCGTCCAATTGGGCAAGCTGAGTTTGGCACTAAGGTCAAGACGTTCCCTCACTGCATCACTTTTTTCCTTCCTTTCTTATCGTAGATTCTGAGTCGAACCAGTCCAGGGATGATCAACTCATTGCATTTTCATTTTATCTGGTTGCTGATTCGAGTTTTTGTTGCTTTTACAGGTGGAAATTAAGAATTTGAATGCTTTTTCAGCAATTAGCAGGGCAATTGACTTTGAGATATCAAGACAGGCACTTCTCTATAATCAGGGTCAAGCCGACCAGATTGTATCCGAGACTCGGCTTTGGGAAGAAGGAGCTCAGGTCCTAAGCTTAAACATCTTTCAATAGGCGGAAATATTCTTCCTTTTTTATCATATCTTCCAGAAACTAACTTGAGTAGAGATGTTCAGAAATCAGTGACAATGAGGAAAAAAGAAGGGCTTGCTGATTATCGGTACTTTCCCGAACCAGATCTTCCAGAGGTGATCCTCACCCAAGACTACGTTGATAGCATCCGTTCTTCTTTACCAGAACTTCCTGAAGCAAAGCGCAGGAGGTATGAGGCGATGGGTCTAGGCATGCAAGATGTGCTTTTCCTCGCAAATGACGTCAGTGTAAGTCATACTCGCTCGATATTGATAGTATTTAAGTTTCATATGGAACCTACTCATGGCATCTTCACAAGAAGACAATGCTGAGAGAAAAAGAGTGAAACTTTTTTTATCAGTTTTGTGAGAATATCGATTTTTGTATCACAGCAAGATGAGTAAACTGTTGTTGGAATGAATGGCTTAGGTTGCAGAATTTTTCGATGCAGTCATTGGTAAGGGTGCTGAAGTGAAGTTGGCGGCAAATTGGATAATGAGCGACATTGCCGCTTACTTGAAAAATGAGGATCTTTCTATCAATGATGTTAAACTTACTCCCCAAGAGTTGGCTGAGCTGATAGCTGCCATCAAAGATGGAACCATTAGTGGGAAGATTGGAAAACAGGTCAGTTCAGTTCAAGTCAAACTAAAAATGCATCATATTTCGTTTGTATCAATGTGATTTATTCCATTTTGCAGATACTGTTTGAGCTATTGGCCAAAGGTGGAACAGTCCAAGGAATGATAAAGGCAAAAGACTTGGTCCAGGCAAGTCCACGCTATTCCAAAAATTGTACCCATGATAGAGAAATACATATTTTACTTTCCTGCTGGCCATTTCGAAGCTTCATTCGGAACATATTTCCGGAAATATGTACTAGCACAGTATTAATAGTTAGCTGAAATAATGTGGTAGGGACATTGCATAGATCAGCTAATTTTGATAGATGGGGTAACTCGAAAAGGCACATTAGAATGTTGCAGATATCTTCATTGGTTCTTAGGGATAACCAGGAAATGTTGCTATTGCGTAGATAAATAAAGTATCAAACTGAAATGACTAGGCCATCCTACTTTAGAGAAATCATGACTGATTTTTGCTTCTGTGTGACACACGCTGCAGATAACCGATCCTGCGGAGATTGAGAAAATGGTTTTGAAGGTGGTCTCCGAGAATCCAAAGCAGCTTGAGCAGTACAGAAATGGGAGAACCAAGCTTGAAGGCTATTTTGCTGGACAGGTATGGCAGATACGATCCCGCCTTTGCTTGAAAACTTGTACCCTGTGAATCAGTTCAAACTCATATGTTTCTTTGTTCAGGTTATGAAAATGTCAAAAGGCAAGGCAAACCCTGGCTTGCTTAACAAGATTCTCCTGGAGAAGCTCAATGCCAAGGACTGATTGAAGCTTCAAGTTGTGTACAAGCTTTAGCTTTCTGGCAGATCTTCTGAAAAGTGAAAGTATTGTCTTCAATCACGGTTAATCTTTCGAGATTTATGTTGAATTCTTATGAAAAAAGTTGAATTAGATAGACTGAATTAAGACTCTTGAATTAATGGCAAGACCATGGACATATTAAATTGGTACAGAATGAACAAGTGTTCTTTTCGTTCACTTTTTGTTTGCATATGAAATAAAAGTTGAGATTTGCAATTTCTAGACTAATTAATCAAATTCCCATGTGAAATCAGAGAAAAAAAGAAGAAGACTATTACTCTCACTCTGAGTCAGAAAAGGAACATAGAACCTATATGTCCAGAAAGATCATTCCTAAGTGATACAGTAATGAATTCATGAACTCAACGTACCAAGCAATTGGTACTTTTTGATACAGAGCTTCTTATAAGCTTTAGAGTTCATCATGCGGGCGTTGTTGTAGAGGAATATTAACATTTGGAACAGCATTTCGATCAAACTGTTGTCCGAGAGGCATAGCATCATCATTTGCTGCTTTTCGAGCCAATTGAGCTTTAATAGCAGCTGTAGCCATCCGTTGCAGTTTCAGGATTCCTATGCGCTTCGAAACAACGTAAAGAACAGCAAAGACGAAGAGAGAAAATCCAATTATGAGGATTAACCTGTTCATAGCGCCAAAAGAACCACCGAAAACTAGAGAGTTATTATTTACTATTATTCACCGGAAGAGATGTTGGTTAATCAGAATCTGTTCCTTTCAAGTACCTGTCAATCACGTCTTGACGTTGCATTGTAGAAAGTAGATTCCGGGTCCTCGACAACAAAGACTTGTGTCCCTTGTATTCACTCTCGGCCTTTTTAAGTACTCCAGTAGATTCATCTATAAATATAAACATGGATGACATGTCAGTTTTGACTGCTTTCACTGGACACTTAAAATCATATCAGGTAATATTGGCACACTATGAATAACATACCAAAAGCCACAAGAGTGTTTGTACTTCTTTCCACCTCCTGTAACCCCAAATGTTAAGAGAATATTGATAAGACAATCAAACTTTTAATACTGGATAACTTTTTTTTTAGTTTTGAGCCAAAAAAGCAAGCAAAATGTCAATGGACAATCCCTTCGTAACTCTTTTTTCTGACCTGAACCATCAGTTGCCGTGAACGCCTGAGACTTTCGGTTATGCTTTCAGCATCTGATGTCACACCAGCATTTGCTCTACAAGCAACCGAAAACGTTTCTTTTACCAATAGGCATAAGAATAATACAAGTGAAATTCTTTCACAACCATTTCAACAAGAAATTCAAATAACAGGCTGGGTTAAGTCAAGATTGATGTAACAGAGTTTCCAAGAAGTACATACTGTCTTTTCCGTCTGAGGACTGTGGACTCTGTGCCACCACCGAGGAGAAGCTCTCTCTGCAACCATTGTAAGCACTCTTTATACAAAATATTTCAAAGGGTAAAAACAGGATCAGAGAGACATGAGACTTACCTCTTCTTGAGCAGATTTCCTCATGTTATCCTTTGCTTGCAAATTAGCACTTCTCAGGTTTACCCTCAAGCTGACAACAAACACAATGACCCAAATTCGATTTAGTCAATCAAACACACAACTCTTACTTCTGCTGCTACTGTGAACAATACTATTCATAACCTGTATCTGATAAATGCTTAGCAAAATTGTAGAATAAGCAAAACTCAAATTAGTTTCACTTTGCTTTCCCTAAACTAATGCTTTGACTCTCTTTCTTGTTGTACCAGAATTCTCTAATAAATTGAGATCAAGCTCAAGGGAAAGGCAACAATACTTTGATCGTAGAACATCCTTCCCTATATTCTTCCAAACTACTACTACTACATAGACGACTCAAGTACCCCTAAGCCAACCAGACATTTGAATGAAATACCTTTGGTATTGATTCTTCCAGGTTTCAAGCAGAGACTGAGTAGATTGGACCTGATCATCAGAAGGGAGCTGGGGAGCGAGAAGATCGAGATTGAATTGAAGAGAATTGAGAAGAGAGAGACCATCCTGAGCCAATCCGTTAAGCCTCTGTAACGAAATCTTCTCCACTCCATCTTTTTCTCCTCTCCTTGATTTCCCGTACTCTTGAATCGCCATTATATGTTCGATCGTCTTCTCGTAAGCGGATTCCCATTCTCTCTTCGTCTTCTCCACTTCTACTACGACTTCGTCCATGTGAAATCGAGAAAACGCCGGAAGAAAAACAAATCAAATCGGAGTTCCCAGAAATGAAGAAGGGAAGGAAACAATTAAACGGCGTCGAAGAGGATCTCCCCGTCGATATGGAGACTCTGCCACAAAGTCTAAAATTCATTCAATGGGCCTTACAATTTGGGCCTATACTTCTAATTCACTGAACCAGTTTTGTGATCGACCAAAATTGATGCATAGTTTTGGTTAATGACACCATAACTAAATAGCAATTGCTAATATTTTCAGGACCAACAAAAAAAATTATCCAAATTAATGTGAATAGAAAGAAAAACATTTAAACTAAACAAAAATGTGAATAAGAGAAACAACAAACGACCGATTTTAAAACTCTGAAACATTAACCCTATTAACCGAAGAAAACGAGATTATGCATAAAAATCCAAGAGCAAGTGAATGTTCTAGAGCGATAGTCATGGCCTAAACCAATCAAGCCATGATTTAGATAACATGACAGTTTCAAGGACCGATATGACGTTACATAATCAGACTATGATAGTCTAAAGTAACAGTCAAGCTATTAATCATAGGTGTATATAGAAAACAATTATGAATACAAATAATAAAGATTCAATTTTTTTTTGTTGTAAAAATGCCATTTTTTCAAAAAAAATTTGCATTATATTGAATTAACTATATTGTATTAGGATTTAGTTATCAGGGTTTTAGGGGTTTAAACATTTTTTAGGGTTATAATTTTAAGATTTAGGTTTTAAAAATTCATAAGTGGCATTATTGCAAACGTACACATCAAAAATGGCATTTTTGCAATTGTCCCAATAATGAAATACTGCTTTAGTAGATTTTTATAATAAAAATAAAGAAGTGATAAGAAATATTATCGAAGAATTTTTTATTACTGCATATAACAATTGCACTCTTTCTCTCAAGGTCTCGATATTGTGCATGATTTGGTCAGAATGCCAAGCTTCTCCCAGATAGGTTTGACTCTTCACTACACTCATGTTTGATGCTGGCATTGTTCTTATAATACTGAAATCTCTCCTCGAACCCCTCAAGTTTTTCCAAGATATGATTGTATTTCATCTAAGATTTACTATTATTTTGTATAGAAACTTCTGAAATATTTAATATAGTGAATTAACAACATATTCAAAAGTTTAATTCAAATTTTTTAAAAGAAAAAACACAAAAATTACATAAAATTTTCCATTCAAATGACTTACTCTACTGAGAAATTAGATACTCTACTGAAAAATCGGATACTACGTTTTTCCACATAGTAATTTCTTCAATCTTCTTCAATCTTACTCATTGTGTTCCTACAAGAATAAGAAGCTCAATTGTCTCATTATCACAACTCAATAAAATCATATTCAATCTTCTTGAGCTCAATTGTGTTCGCTTGCGCTCTACTATGATTCGCCCGAAAAAGCTAATATTTGTCTTCTTGAGCCGCTTGATCATTTGCAAATTAGCATGCTCCTTCACTCATTTTTAAATGAGTTGTCCATTTTTAAAAATTCTAAATTGGTGGCATTTTTAAATGAGTTGTCAAA